GTCTGCCCTAGGTGGGTTTGTGTGTGTGTGTGTGTGTGTGTGTGTGTGTGTGTAGGATGGATGAAGGAGGGGGACAAGTGAAAAGTTGCAGGGAGGGGAAAAAGGCAAGTTTTACTTTCAAAAGATACAGACAAACATCTCCAGCAAATATGCCAATTCTGCACATTTCAAGAGGTATGAACTTTTCACTACATGTTTTGAAAGAAGGATCTTGCCACATAGTACAGGCCAGAAGCAAATATGCGGACCTATCACTTAAGTAAAATACAACAAAGTAAGTTTAAGAAAATACTGATAGGCTTTGAGTATCGTATATTTCGTTTTGTGATACTGGATGGATGGATTCTCAACCACTAGATAGCAATGTTAACGCAAACAGAGGGCTATGATGTTGGATGTTAGAGCGACTGTGATAAATACAAATGTATATGGGGGTGTACTATGACATGCCCGTGGTGTACAAATGTTTTTCTAAAATATATCTACTAGTGACATTTATCGTATCTCCATGGTGCTTGCAAATACACAGCGCTACAGCCTGGACACACAGCGTGCGCGAGCTGTGCGGCTGCCTCCCTGAACAGCTGTGACTTGCGATGTCCACACAGAGAGCATTTATGCTGCGGCAATGCTACTGCCAGCCGTATCTTTCTTCCTTGCCTTTGATACAAACAATACAATAAACAAATGTATGAACTCTGTCTGAAACAGATGAGTTAAAAAATATTAAACTTTTTTTTTCCATGTCTGTCACATTTTGTACAGACACAGACATTAAAACTGTTGTGAACGGTGCATATGTTGCTGGTATCTTGATATGACTATGAACAGATGCTTTTCACTGTCTGTTTTTAGTGGGAACTGTTCACGATGCCTGAGACGTGTGTGAGATGTGCGGCTTATACTGGCAGTGTGGTTGCTCTAACCTGTTAATGTGGGCAAAGAAATTATAAGCAAGATGTTTCATGATGTGTGTCCAAGGATCTTTTACAAGTACAAGTCCCACATTCAAAATCTTACTTAAACGTACGACAAGGTATTTTTTAACTGGTTATAAGGCTGTCTCAAATTAATACAGATAACTCTGTGTGACCACCATAAACAAACAAGACCATCAGCGAGAGGATTGGCTATTTCTACATAGTTATTGTCAGCTAATGTCTGCCACTGTGTCGGATTGAGTTGGCTTCTACTTGAAAACAGAGGAAATGAGGCAGTAGAAACACTACCGCTTTTGTCCACAGGGGCAAGAAACAACACAAAATGAAATTTCCCTATAGCTGCTTTAAGTAGAAACACATATCATGAACAAACGTGCTGCTTAAGGTATCAAAAGTACTTTTTATGCAGCAGAATGTCAGTGGTCAGTGTTTTATTATTATGTAATATATAATTTGACCATTATTACTGATGCATTAACATTTAACCTCTAACTACTTTAAATAAATATACCATAAACATATTTTTAACAGTTTATCGGCTCTGTTGATTTATCGGTCTAGCTATGCTTGTAGCTACAGCTGTAAGATAAATGCAGTGGAATAAAAAGTATTCAATAATTGCCTAAGTAGACATTAGCAGGATGAAATGCAAATGACTCAACAGTAGGCTAAATGTACTTTAAGTATTTTCAACCACTGGTGTATAGGCAGATACATCCCTCTGTGCAATATATACTTTAATAAATGCAATTTATTGTGGCTGCCCTGACTGTATGACTGAGAAATGGATAAAAGCTGCACAAATATCGGCTTCCAGAGAGGTAATTTAAAGTTTAAGAAGATGATGCTGTTGATCTGCCTCTGGCTCAGGTAGGCCACTTCTTCACACCTGTTGGTTCACATCTGGAAACACGTGGAGTGATGTATAGCGCTGTCAAAGGTCACTATTAGTAACAATCTACATGTTAAATCAGTTAGAAATCATTACACCGTCGAACACCTAGAGAAAGCGAAACTCACGTTTTACTCCGTACCTGTTTTCTGCTCAGCTCTTAACTTGACAGCCGCACGTCTCCCATATCAAAGTTACTAAAAGTGTCCGTCCGTGGTATTGCAGTAGGCTATAAGTAAAAGTAAGTTTAAAACACAACTGCCTCCATTTCAAGACTATGGGTAAAAAAAAAGGGGCTCAGGGGCAGATGTTTCATCCAGGGGGAGAGAGAGAGAGAGAGCTCACATCCTGGTGACGACCATAAGTCGTTTCTGGAAAAAGTTCGTCCGCAGTTTTTTCCCCTTCTTTGCTCCAAAAGCAAATTAAACTGCTTACCCCGTTCAACAACGAGTTACCTCTCAAAAAAAAAAGAGGAGAGGAATTTTCCTCTTTAAAAAAAAGAAGAGGAAAAGAACTGGCAGTTGTGTCCCGACAGGGCGACAAACAGCGGGCTGTAGCCTATCTCATCTCGGTCCAAATCTGCGCTGATGAACCGACAACGCGAACCCTCGTCGTCGGTTTTGGACGCAGCCCCGACTCTTTCCGCTTGAAGTGAAGGCTCTCTGTCAGTCCTCTCCCATTAAGCAAGAACGTGTTTTGTTGTCTGTCTATGGTCCTGATCTAAAGGCAAGATTACATATTTTTAGATAGTATACAGTTCTTGTCCCACCCCTTATTGTCCCGTACAGACTCTGCTCTGCCTGGAATGTGTTCTCATAGCGGTTTTCCTGTTGCTCGCTAAACCTCTCATTTTCCTCTTTCCCCTGTGGACTGGTGTCTGCACTGCACTGACAGGAATGTGCTTCAAAGACCCCACTATGATACAATAACATTGCTCTGAGTAAAAACAAGAACTGCTCGGAATTTCTTATTAAACCATAAAATCCTGTCATCAGTATTAGTAATAAACTTAAAGACATGTTCTCAGAAGCATGAACATAAGTTGCTTGGAATAACTGTCTGCAAACAGAAAGCAACGTTATCATTCATTTGGACTCCAGTTTTCACTCTTTTAACTCATCAGCTGCTCCACTAAGTTCACCAGCTAGTGACTGACTTCTGTCACCTGAGTAGCCCAGGTCAGCGGTTCTCAACCTGGGGTCCAGGGACCTCAAGGGGCCTTGAGGGGGTTCCAGGGGTCCCAGGAATGGGGAATATTTACATTTAGCTATTATTTAATTGACTACAAGTTAGCCTAATGAGAGAATGTATATGGATGATTATTGTATTCATGGGTGTCACAATTTAATCTACAGTATGGACAGTTGTGGAATAATTCAATCTTATCAGATGGATATTCCTGAGAATCGTCTTATCAAACACAGGTCCATGGCCCAATATGTATCAATTTTGGATACAATAGGGTTGAGAACCACCTAGGTAGTGTACAGTAGGTTTATTAGATTTTTTCTGCTGAAAACAGCTGTCTGTTGTGTTTTTAAAACAGTGCTAGAGCTGTAGGAGTGAACCAGAAGAGCAAAACAACCACTATAAAGCTCCTTAAAGCCTTGAAAAGTCAATTTTTAGTGTATGTGCACTGGAGTTTCCACATCACACTTGTATTCATTCCATATTGAGCAATGACTGACTTCCAGACTAGTTGATGTTATAAAATCATGCTCATGCGTACATGTCTGAAACTCAGCCCTCTAGTGTCAAACTCTGCCCACACATCATTCTGCACCACGTATGTAAAGTGATGCAACAATAATCAAAACACATTTTTGAGCAGAGGATGACTGTAAAACAATTTTTTCTCTTGAGAAACACTTAATCCTCCTAATCAGTGTGTCTAATAAATTTGGCGAGCATCCTCTTAAACTGAAGAAAACACATCAGTGCCTTTCTGTTACAGCAGTTGTGGCAGTCAAAGTCTGTCTTAATGGCAAATACAGTTGTCTCTTGGATGCCAGGCAGACTCTGCTGTATGAAAACACTTCATTCAGCAGAGCCTGAGAGAGATGTCTTCATGTCTGTAATATAAATTCCCCTCCTTGTTCTCAGGCTCTGTAATCTCTCCGTTTTTGGCTTACGGCTGAAGAAACAGCTGGACGCTCTCACATCAGCTGTCATGTAGAAAAGAGAGCAAATTGTTCTTTTTTCAAAATCAGTACTTGTTTTTCTTTTCTACTTATCTCTGTGATTCAAAGAGCCACTCTGTCCTATTCCCTTAAGGCTTTTCTAAAAAGCCTCTATTTGCTGTATAATATACTAGAGCAGAGGGAATGTGATATTGCTTCAACAGACATTCATTCATACTGTCAGTTTTCCAAAGGCTGATTCTTGATAAAGAGAAGACTTGTTTTACTACCCCTTCAGTATTATTGAATTGTCAAAGTTTTAACAGTGGACACAGCACATAAAGTCAAAATACAATGCTGACTTAAGTTACATTCATGATTCACTGTGTGGTCAAAGAGCTTCAGAGCTCAAATTCTGTACAATCTGGTTTGTTTTCTGTGTATGAGAATATGTGTCTGATGTGTTCTTTCCCTGAACTCTAGGGAAGTATTTATTTTGAAGTTGACCTCAAGTACCCAAGTTCCCCTGTGAAGAGGAAGTGAGTCAAAATGCTGAATATATAATGCTACTAACCAGCTGCATCATGTTTTCATACAAATAATTATATGAAATATTCTTGAATGCATCAAGGTAGCCATTTGTTACTACCAATTAAAGCTAATTGTTATGTACTGATAAACTGCATATTGGATTAAAAGATTACAGACAAGGGTTCAAAAGCCATTTCATGCCACTGGAGAGAGAGCGCATTATAGGCTTCCTTAAGAAGCGCTAAGTAGCTTCATTGCAAAAGAGTAACCAAGGTTACGTGCCAGACAAGAGGCACGTATCAATCACATGCATGCCAGTTAAGGAAATTATACATTTCTTGTGTGTAAATACCATATCTTCATGGCAGAGTTGAGGAGTTCACTTTAAAATCTTTTCTCTAAATGTCCTGTAACAACCACAAACACACTAATCACTTTCAGATCACCAGAGTTAAAGATTCAGCAGACTGAAGAAAAACAAACTCACTTGCAAAGGTCAGCACACTAATTCCAGGCTCTCATTCAAACACACATTTTTATTTGTCTCACAGAAGACCTGAGTTTTCTGAGTCTCTTGATCCAGATAAACAACCCCAGAAATGATCCTCTAATATTTTTTTTGTAAGAACAGCATCTAAATACATAATTTTTTTAGATAACACATTTAAATATATTTTGTTTTAATTAGAACATGTATTGCTGTTACAGCTGTATGAGTTATTGGTTATGATTTCAGCAATTACCAAGTTGATCTATACACAGAATATTTTAATTCCAATGCAAGCTGGACCCAAAAAGAGACTTCTTGCCTTGACAGATGCTTAATGTATAATGCCCAACATATTATTAACAAACGATTTCCTGAGTAACATTATGTACAAATAATTGATTTGCTGTGCATAGATAACATGTGAGGTCTGCTATTTGTCTCTTAAATTTTTTTACAGACAGCAATTCTGGTGTCCAAGTAAAAGCCCATCAAACACAGTACATTAAGCACCGAGGAGTTGTATACTTGTGAACAGTTTTTCTCAAATCTAAATGTTGCAGATATGTCATGGTTCCTTTTTTCTGTAGTTATTTTTACATCTTGCACATGCCACAGCAAAACAGTTTGGAGTATTACAATTCAGTCAAAAAGACTTAATGAAGGCCTCCAGTAGATGCTACATGTTGCATACAGTGAAGATTTGATAACCTTTATAGAAGAATAAAAATAAGGGTGTTTTTATAAAACTCAAAATGGTGACTGATTTCATTTGTAAAATGCTGTAAAATGGGAAGAAATTGCTGTTTTGAAGCTCAGTCAAGGGTTGTAAGCTCAAAAGTAATTTAAACTTTGCTTTGCGTACAAATCTACTACAACTGGGCAGTTTTAATCATAATTGGACAGTGCATTACACAGCTATATGACTTCCTGTTTCTGAATCTTTGCAAACAACTTTCTCTGTGCATCATGGTCAAACTGTCTGAAGTGAACAAAACCCTGCTGGATAAAAGTATCCCACCGATGCTGCATTTGTCAGGAAGGTTAGATCAACTTTATAGTTATCAGAAATGGACCAGCTTATGTTCTGAGGTCAAAAGGGTTTGTTTATAGGTGAAAAAGAGATCTTGACACTGGAGTGACGACATCATTAATACCGTCATTAGTGACCTTTGTATCAATTTATGATTTATGATTATCTGCGCAGCAAATCACATGTATCGAGGTGAATTAACCTTAATATCATGGTGGTGCAAGAGGGATCGTTAGCATTGATACAGTCCCTCTTGTGCCTCCATTGGTGAGCCAATTTCTGTAACAATCGGTGCATTCAGTGGGGTGCCATTACTTCCATTGCAGAGTGGACAAAGGAGGATTTTATAGTAATTGGGTGCTGATGCAACTTTGCTATTACTTTGGTTGTCTTGCAGCTGAATACCATGATGGGAGGCTACTTAAAAATCAATTCAAAAACTGTGCCTTTAAAATGAAATAATTCAGTCAGTATAACTTTGCATCCCTGTGAGACTTAATCTTCAAATCCACAAGGTAGGAGTTGCATTAAGAAACATCCACACTAAAACATGTCACTGTATATCTCCAAACATCATGTCCAGCTTTCCAAAGATGCTGGAATATACATAAAATTCAAGTCACTCCAGTTTTCCCAAGCCGAAGTTCAAACGTCAATGCGTTTTAATTGTCTATTGCTGACTTCCCAACTGGTTTTGCTATTCCCTTTTCTTCTGTTAATTCTGGCCTCAGAGTAACTGTAATGTTCAACCCTCATGCATGAAGTTATCACAGAGAAATTCTCTGAGGAAAAGAGAACGAAGCCTCATTTATGGCTTGATGAACGTTTGGACCCTTTACTTTTTTTCTGTTGCTCTTTTTCTTTTTCTTGTTGCTTCTTCTCTCTCTTTTTCTCCTCCTTGGCCTCCTTGTACTTCCAGACAGGAGGCTCCAGGTAGCCCTTCCGCATTTTCTTCTTTTTCTCTTTCTTTGGAGTGGGCTCCCCAGATTTAGTCACTTCAATCTTAGGAATACAGCCTGAGGGGAAGATGCTGTTCCTATGTGCCATGCTGCGGGGAATGTAGCTCTTCATGCCGCCTGGTGTCACGCTTTCCCTGCGCTCTGAGTTCTGGCAGCAGGAGGTCAGAGATACAGAGGCGGCGGACACAGGAGTGGGAGAAACTGAGGTGATGGAGCCTTTAGTATGGGACACTGTGCTCTCCTCCAACTCTTTGCTGCTGTGCTTTTCAAGCAGTTCAGGTACGGCAAACCGTCTCTTGCCAATCTCTGGGGGGCTGCTGGGACAGAGTGGACGACAACCAGTGGCTACCATGGGGCTGTGGATGCCTGTTGTCATCCGCACCATATGGTCCATGACCCCATTGTCTTGGGGGTCCTGAGGGAAGCTGAAAGAAAGGCTGTCTTTTAAGCGTTGCCTCAGCTTCTGACTGGCTGTTTTGTTGGCAGTGGCCTTTGCTACCAGTTGCTTCAGCTCAGGCCACTCTGGAATGTAGCTATCACAGAACTGCTCAGCTACAGGATGAGCCTGAAGGCGGCGTATTCTTTTAATAGTCTCAAAGCCTCCGGTCCTAAGGATCCAGTCCTTTAGACTTCTCCCTTGGACCAGGTCCACTGCATACATATCTGCACCTGCACATGAAAAAGGAGAACATAACAGAATGCGGTGAAAACAAGGAAACAAGTTAATAATCATTGGATGCTGAGGGATGTGAGGAAATCAATTGCTCCTTCAGCTAAGTAAAATTACCCCACCATGTGGTCGCTTTTGAAGCACAGTTCATTGACTAGCTGTGTAGCGTAACACTACCAGAAATCAGGTCATTTGACAGCATTATGGAATAGGATATAGATTGCAGTTAGGTGAAAAAAAAACATGATACTAAATCCTGCAGATTCTCTCTCTCTCTCTCTCTCTCTCTCTCTCTCTCTCTCTCTCTCTCTCTCTCTCTCTCTCTCTATAAATGCTATCTAATTCAGTTTAACCCACTATTGGATGGAAGCTGTGTCTATTTCAAAGACTATGACAATCCACTGAAAGAATAATAAGTATAAGTAAGTAAATATAAGGCTTTAAAACAAATCCAGGATCACCAGACATATATTTCTATTCCACATATAGCTCAAGTTTGCCTGTAAATACAATTAGATTATGGACTAATGTTGTCATTCTCTCTCTGACATAATTGGTCTTTAAATAGAGCAGGGCAGGAATTTTTATAATGAGATCCTAAATGTGTCCCTGTACAGTTTATATGGACTAATCCCTGCGGCCCAAACAAAGACCAGATTAGTTCACAGATCAGATGTCCTGGTTTACCCTGTATGTCACATGTATACAACATTTACATTTTTTGATATATGCTTTCCTGTGCAAGTTTATGAATTGTACATTTTATATTTGTGATCCTTGCATCCTAACTGTCTGTTTTTTCCTAAACCGATATGTACTATAGTTCAGGGTCTACACAAATCTAAGAATCTGGACTGAATAAATCTCTTGTCCATGTGTGCACGGACACCAGATGTTCCTCCTATCTAAACATTGCAAAGTTTATTGGAGATCTTATGTACCATAAACCTACCATGCATTATCAAGGCGGACACGCACTCTTCTCTGCCCTGCAGGCCTGCCTTGATGAGGGCTGTAAAGCCACGGGGATCCCTGACCTCAGTGTCCACACCAGAGTAGTAGTTAATGATATAGTTTAGAATGGTGACGAAGCCTGGTTGAAAGAAACAACATTATGTTAATATTGTAGAATTGCCTGAGACTAGATATTGCGGATATGCGCTGCATGTGTCACCAGACATACCTGCCTGGGCAGCAAACATGAGGGCAGTATTGCCATCATTGTCTTGGTGGTTGATGTCTATTAATGGACACATGTGCAGCATGGTGACAATGTCTATGAATCCCTTGCCCACCGCTACCATCAGTCCATTCTGAGGGGAGACAAATGGAAATAAATGGACCTTTGTTAAACTGTATATTTACCTTTATATTCAACCTTTTTCATCGCAGAAATATAGATTTCACTTTCCTTGTGGGATAAAAAGGAAAATGAAATCCATCTCACCCTGCCATTGATGTCCAGCTCCATGGCCTCTTCTTTAGTGACTCCTCTCTCCAGGATCCTACGCAAGGATGTGGGGTCATTCTTAGCGCAGGCCTCATACAGCGTTTTAGCCGGCTCTTTATCCTTTTCATCCCTTTCATATTCAGGAAGCACCGAGTCATCAGAAAGAACGCTCCCTGAGTCATAATCATCCAGTAGGATCTCCGAATCCTCGGATGGGCCTGCGCCCAGGTGGGGGTCATAATTTGCAGTGGCCATTGGACCCCCTTCTGCCTGGGATCACACCTTAGTGTCAGGTCTGCTCCACACCATCCACATCTTGAATAGTAAAACATTAAATGTTTTTTATCATGGACACAATATAAACACATTTTAATTTACTCGATTTTGTTTTACTTACACTACATGACTAACAACAAAACCTTGGCAGCCTTTGAAGTTAGCATGTTAAATAGATCTGAAGACCTGAAAAGGCCTTGTCTATAATGCATGATGCCTAAAGAGGATAAGGAGCTCACCTGAGCCCTCCTGTCAGAGCGGCTGATCCATAAGTCTGTGATTTACAAGATAGGAAAGCTGACTGTATAACATACTTTTTGTCAATGCTTGTTTGCTAGCTCAGCCTATTATAGAATAGAGGATCAGTTATATTGACTCTGAGATTAAACAAACGTTTCCAATACATTTATTAATACTCTGAAATGTGTAAAAATGTGCAAGGCATGTATTTATGTATATATATATTTCTACAAATAATAAATGGGCAATAAATGCTGTATATCTGCAGAAGCTCAGTCTGTGAAAGTAATGTGAAAGAAGGCATAGTAGGAGGGGAGTACTGGGTCGAGAAAGGCCATATGGTGCCGGAAGCAATGGGAGGCCAGGCAAGCGACAGCATCTGTCATGGTGTCTTAACCGTGTCACACTGGTTTGCAGGACAAGTACACTGGGGTATCCAGTGGTTCTCTGGTATAATTCAATAAACTACACAAAGGCTATTCATATAAATGTAGCGTTTGTATGAAGTACATTTTGAAACCAGTGGTGACACTGTTCCTCAAGGCTCAGACTTTGAAAGAGTTAGTCATTCTTAATGTTTTGAAGGAGCTGCAGGAAGTGAGAAAGAGCTTGATTGCTTTCCAGTGAGGGATTGAGGATTTCAGTCGTCAAGACTCCTTGGCCCTGCATACATCACTGCACCATATCCACATTAGGCACAAATTCACACAGACAATTGTTTGCACAAGCTCAGCTTTGCACCTGCTGACAATTATTCAATTAATGCTAAGTTATTAGAGTAAAAGCGCATTTTGGATGAACTCTCGTTAAATGCCAGATAGAACTGCTCAACTTCAATCCCACAAACATATGTTTCTGTTTCGACTTTGTGTCAGAAGAATGAAGATTATTAACACACAAACTTTTCTCTCACTTCTTCCTTCTGCCCAAACATAGAAAGCTAACACTGTCATTGTGGCCTTACACTTCCTGCTGTGCAACACCTTGCAATCTGGTCAAGCTTCTTCCTCTGAATTTTGAATATGAGCTGTCTCTGTTGCCTCTCCAAACTGTGGAGTGACGATGTAAAAATATGCAACCATTTGTGCCAAAGCACAGAGAAACACTTGTTAGAACAAATAGTAATAATCAAAATCTCACCCTAAAACAATCCAGCCATAGTTTAGTCCTCTTCTCTTTTTTCTCTCTTTTTGAATTTGCTCTCGGTGGTTAAACCATCCTCATATTTTGGACTTCCACTCTTCCTGTTGGCTCTTGATAGAAACTGGTTTAAGTTTCCCAAACTGACTCTAGCTGAATGCCTTCCTCCTCCCTCCATCTTTCCTACTGGCCAGTTACATTGCCAATCCGTCCAGGTCCCAACATAGACTCTGCCGTCCTAAGTCAGGCAACATGCTCTCTCCCTCTCATCCTGATTACAGAAGATTTAAGGATTAAGAGAAAGAAACAGACAGCAGCCAACCTTGCTCCCCTTACAGTCGGTTGAGTTAGTCTGCTCACTCACTCTCTCTCTCTCTCTCTCTCTCTCTCTCTCTCTCTCTCTCTCTCTCTCTCACTCTCTCTCACTTGTCTCCACAGCTCTCTCAGAATCTGTCCATCCACGACTCTCTGCTGCCCGTCTGTTGTGTTAGAGCAAACCTCTCTAACGGTCCAAAGAAGTGCTGTGACTGAATCATGGAGGCTATGGCCTCCAAATCTGCTGTACTGCTGAGGACCCCCTGCCTGCATAATTTCAGTGTGTCTGTGTGATGGGAGACAGCATCTTGGGGTCTGTTTTCCCATGGAAATCCATTTGCTGGGGCAACAAAATAACTCTGCTGTTACTCTGAGCCAGGGGGCCTTGGTGGTAATTATTCCCATGACAGGGATGACACACACAGACTTACATGGAAACACACACCCACACACCCACACAGATGCTGTAAACTTTGGAGGATGCAACTGATTTGCCTGAATTTGCATGCTTACATTAAAAGAAAACAAAGCAGACACACAAAGTTTTTTCATTGGTCTAACACTATATTTTGTGTCAAGGAGATCATTTTTTGTTTCAGTACCAACATTTCCATCTGTTTTTTTTTACCTGGTTAACATAGTTTTGTGTCAACACAAATATCACAGGTTTGAGTTATACAGGTAATATTATATTGCAATTATAAGAAACCAGATGCTCAACTTTTTCTAGTTTCACACAACTTGAACTGTGACACCAGTTTGTTTTGAATCCCATATGGGGACAGGAATATCGTCTTGACAGGTTTATTCATTATCAGCATCTCACTTACTTATACCAAAGGTGCATGTAAACAGATTAACAGTATTGATTATTGAATTAATCCTGTAAGGCCATTATGTAACTTTATGCACATTAATGTAGCCTGTGTTACACAACAGCTTCTCTCTTTTAGAGGGATGCAGACTGCCCCCTTCTGATTCAACTGGGTAATGCAGTGCTTAGACATGCACCTTGTTTATATAGCATAGTTAGACAAGATATTGAGACAGCTCATATTTAAAATAGCCACAACATGAATCCTTGCTGTAGGTTACATCTGCTGTCTACATCACATTCAAATATATCTACAAACTCACAACAAGGCATATTTTGCCCATCTGAACCTACATGGTTCCACTTTTGAGTGGACCATATCATTAAGAAGTCATTATGAAATGCCAACTCTATTAACAAGCAAAACTATTTTGATATGAAATGTCCATCATCACAGAGCCCCCGTCTTGTCTGAGTGAAGCCACTGTGACAAATTGATCACTCATTCAAAAGCACTTTGATCCTGAGAATTATAGTTGAGAAGAGTCAACCAAACGACACATGTTGTTGATACCACCTAGCTGAAGCTGACACACCTTCAACAACATAATCCCACTAAATCCCATTAAATGCCCCAGCCAATTCCTTATTAGAAACTGCCTCTTTGACAGTGAGCCATCTGATCAGACCTATAGCACCACACTAACCTGACCCATTACTCAAAAGGTTCTATGTATAGACACAAGCGCCTGAGGTGGGTCTTGACTCCGTACTGATATGAAATACAGGAAGAGGAAAAGAGGCATGCTTAGGGCAAAGATTAATAGCTTGTGAAAGGCCAAAACAGAAATTCAGTTCATTGGAAGAAATACAGAGGAAAGGGAAGCCTGTTTGGCACAACAGGGCGGGGTGGTGGTGTTTTCCTTTATCCTTTTAGACATACAATAATGATCTAACTGCTGTACCAGACGAGGGCAGCACAGCACAGCATACTTTAACAGCAGTTTTATCTTTATCTCCAGAAAGTCTTTGCTCTGGTTTCTCAAAGAAAATCCAACTGATTACTAATCTGACGTATGAGTTACAGAACATTTTGTTCTGATTCCCACCTCCTGATAGTACTCGCACTTTCCCATTTAGGGTCCGAGTTATTTTCCTCCTATTCCGCAAATTCCTCACAGAGACATTCACTCATCATAGCAAAAATCAGTCCAACTTCTCCCCAGACACCAGAGTACCCAGCAGAGGTCAGTGGTAGAGCACAAGAACTTGGAAAGAAGCTTGGGAAGCAATGAACTAACTTTAGCCAGATTAGTGACTGAGACAGCCATGTGCTCAGCTAATATTAGATTGTTGGCAGTGTCTCCAGGACCGGTCTTACCAGCACTTTGCCCAGACTCTGAGCATCTGCTGTATTATCATCTGCCTGATATGTGCTCCAAAGCATCTAAAAGCCTCCAGGGATCAGGTGAATGGAAGGAAACGTGGAGGAAGTAGAGCTGAACTTGTTCATGTAAGGCAAGGAGGAGATTTGGGGTGATTTGTTAGTTATTGCAATAGGAAGTGGACATTTGTGGTGTTTGGGCTTTGACTCAAGGGTGGGTGAATAAGGCATGAGGAACAAATGCTGCACAGTAAGGAAATGATTTGTTTAAAGCCAGAGTACCCAAACCTTTTCTTTTGGAGGGCCAAAATGAAACTCTCTACAGGCTGGATTAGGGTTAGGTTAGGTCAAGGAAAAGTACTTAAGTATGAAGTATGAAGCTCCCTCAATATAGTCTTTCTCTCTCTGTGCTTCCTAATAAGTATTATAATAAAACTATAATAATAAGTATTCACAGTATTTCAAGATAAAAAAGAATTTAGGGTTTACAGGGTCAGTCACACAGATAGATGGAGTAGACTGATATTGCAATGTGCAGAGAAATACATATTCAAATATATATTTCATGTAGTTTTATTCACAGGAAATCTTCTGTTCCAAAGCAATGCAGTACAAGTTTTCGACTATTTTTTGAAAACAAAAGTCCCTGGCCTACTTCAAACTGGGTACAGTACATTGTGGTTTATGCATCTAAGCCGCAGAGACTCTTTTTGCTCTTTTGTTTAAAATCTGTTACATTATCAATACTCAGCTATCTAAAACAAACAAGTTAACTAAACATGATTGCATGTCTGGAGATACTAGTTGAAAGGGTGATCTAATATGCAAATTTTACTGCACTCAGAATATGATTCCTACTGTCTAAAACTACAAAACTCCAGAAGTGGTTGTATGTAGCCAATTGTGTGCATTATCTATCTCTAAACCAGCTGCCCTGGTTTAGAGAAAGTGATTCTGATGTGACCACATTCAGTCTTGACCTTGGGCTAATGGCTGGTGTGAGAGATGTGGAAACTTTGTATGGACACAAAGTGGCTGTTGAAAGCAATAGCAATTTCTTCCAACTCCAACCGTGATGTTTCCTCATGCTCTCACATCTTTACTCCACCTATGCCAGTAATTTCTCTGAGGTCTTCGCTGCTGCCGATGACTAATTGTTCTAAGCCCTATGGTTGTTGACTTTTTAATTCTTTCAACGCAAGAGCTTTATTGCTCTTTTTTTTAAGGATAATGTGAAACTTTGAAGGCTGAAGGAAAACACAAAAAGCGAAGAAAGTAGCTGAAAAGAAAGTAAATATAGTCACATAATTGCATAGCATTTTTGAAAGACAGAGATTTACAGTTACAATCGTAGGGCCTAATTAGTTAAGTTGTTAGGCCCAGTATAAAAGCTTTTTCTGAAATATAATCATTCTTTGGTTTTTAAGGTTAATGAGGTCTTCTTTGTTCATTTGTTTTCACAATTTGTGTGAAGTGCTATGGAAATGAATCTTACATAGCTGTCATTGTGTTTTTTTTATGATAAGGCTTTGGGCCTATTCAATTTCTATTATTAACATGAGTGGCCAGCCCTCAATCAGCATAAAGGCTTTAGATTACATGAAAACTTCCATTTTTATCAAAGGTACTACATCAGCATAGATTTTCAGAGAATAAATCTTTCAAAATAATGTCAGTGAAAAGTGAAAGCTTTTAGTCCAACGGAGCTTCATGCCAAATACACAGAGAACAAAATCCTCACAGGGATAGTCATCAGTTGTCAATTAACACATCTGAGGTGATTAGAAAACATCAAGCATTATTTAAAGATATGTGTGATGTTTTTAGGCTTTAGATCTTTCTTAGTTGATATAAGTCACACATTGTTACATTCACTCCTCACTTTCATATATTATTATGAGACACTGGTATTTACTTTACTCAGATGACTTATTGTTAATAGAAACACATGTTTTATTTTCCCATTTAGCCACATTTCTCAGCATTTAAAAAGTACAAGTTATTTTTTCTCACAGCCTTAAAGACATATAGTCTGCTTGGAACAATAATGTGTGTCTGATACTGTTTGTCCATATTAAAATCCTTAAAAAGCCATTTACTCTTTTCACCTCGTTTTAAAATTCCAGAAATTGTTTTTTAATTTATAAAGTTTTCCTCCTGGACGAAGATGTCTCCTACTTCACTGTAAAAGCCATTTTCAGTGTGTGTGTTAAAGGTTTTATTGCCTGCTAAAAAGTGATTAAACTTGTTGACTGTTTGGGCCTAAAATGCTCTTGTTGGTCACGTTTGTTGATAAAACCTCCACATTAGTGGAGACAACAGTACCACCAGACCCAAAAAGGAGAATTATCCTGTGATAAGTTACTTCTATGAATGTTCATTTTATGTTTCAGCCTCATGGTTTTGTAGTATTCAAAATTAAAGATAAAATATGTATTAAAACTCTGCCAGAGGGAATTTTTCTGGAGTCTTGACAACCTACCTTGTCGCCTCTTTTGTTGACAATGGATGTTGATAGTTTTGGGTGCAAAAATGTTTTTTCAATACGCGTTCAATTAGTCCCATGTTCTTAATGTATTTATATTTCTCATTGTATCTGGACATTGAGATCATAATGCAGTGTTTTGTTGTTATTGCTGTTGATGTTTAAAAATCATACTAAACAGGTTTGATGTTTTTGAATTACTTCACGTTTGTTAATTGAAAATTGCAGACTCCTCCTGGGGGAGCTTATTTCTTCTGTGTGTGTGTGTGTGTTCAGCATGTTTCTGTTGAAAGATGAATTGGGTGTGTGCAATGGAAGGAAGTGTGTAGATGCTTTTCATCCAAAGTATTCAGGAGAGATGTCTTTACATGACTTGTAGGTTTGTTTTCATCTTTGACATCTTTTAATCTGCTTTTGGAAGTATATCATCAAAAGAAGTGCAAATTGATTTACAAAATAAAAAAAATGAAATTTGACCGATAATACCAATGAGAAACTACACAATAAAATGGTGGAAAAGACACAGAATAATAAAAGCACGACACCAACACTTATGCTGGGCAAGTCTTCATCTCATGCGGGAAGCTCAATCACCTTGGGCCTAAACTGTGTGACAGCGTGAGGAACTCATGCTGCATTTGGGCCTGAAATTCTAAAGGTAAAATCAAATCAAATAAAAACAACAACAAAACAACAATCCCAAACGTTGCTGTAGCCAAGAATGGGAAGCTAAAATAGGTAATTGTGCTGTCTTGTCTTATGAGTCTGCAGAAACATTTTGGACTGTCTGCAGTCTGGAAAAACTTCACTGCCTCAGACAGCTGCACAAGGAATTAAATAATTTATAGATGAAAACCAAGAACATGGATCATAGTTTCCATGGGTTAAAAGGAAAATACTGCAAACATACCTGTTCTGCAAGACTGTATGTTTCTCCAAGCTTACAACAGAGCATAAATCTTTTGAAAAAAAGCAGCTATGTTCAGTGTCTGTCCAAACGTCAGTTTTTATCAAAAGTTACAACCTTATAGCTTTTATGATTTATATTGAAATCTTTAGGAATTTTAGTACAGTCACAAACTCATATTTCATAGTGTCAGCAAAAGAGAAAATGTTTTATTATATTTTGAATTGTAAAGAAAGAAAAAGAAAGAAAGAAGAAGAAAGAAAATTAGTAAATAATGATTACAGCAAAGACAAAACCAAAACACCAAATTGGCTCAGATTGAGGATACATCTGTAAAAGACCTGGTCAGGATTGGATTTGAGCTCTAACAGGATTAGGCTAAGTAAAGTAATCATTTCAGACTTGTCAGCATTTAGTAGCAAAACAACAACATCTAACTTTAAAATTCAAGATTCCTCATTTAATCTGGCTGGCTGGCCATTTGGCTCTAGGGAAAACAATGTCAACAACAATATCTCGACAACTATTAGATGGTCTGGCATGGAATTTTGTACAAACACCCATTGTCCTCAGATGATCCTACTGACTTTTGGTGTCACCTTGATTTCCTCTAGCACCACCACGAGGTTGACGCTTAGTGATACCCTTTATTAGCTGCAATCAAACTTTTAAATTAACCCTATTTGTCATAGAAATTAGAATATTATTAGAATATTATTAGATTAGAATAGCATGAACCAGGAGTTATTAATTTAACATGACATGTTTATAATAATACAGATTCATTCTCATTAACAGGTGTTCGAACAATCTTGTAGTCTGAATGTTCGCTTTGGCTGTAAAACATAGATTAAGTTTGATCATGTATGGTGTTCTCCAGTGAAACTTAAATACACACACACACACACACACACATGCACACATTTTTTCCATGATACAGGCTCTCCACGTGGCCTGCAGAGTCAGTCTGTCAGGAAACAGTTTTGCATGCCTTCTAACTTTGAATGATCTTTCAAGTAGCCAAAAACAAACAATACTGGTTTGATTAATCAGTACAACAGCAGTTAAAGAAGTTGTGTAAGATGTGTGTGCAATCAGTGACAGTCTCTTAAATAGTTGAGCTTCATGGACTGTGTGTTCATACCTTATTTGGGGCTGCCCTGCTGCTCAAGAGTTCACACAATCCATGTGTCACTGCCTGAGACTTGGGCAAAGATGAAGAGAGAGTGCAGGGTGCCAGGATAGTTCAAAGACAGACCAGAAAAAGAGAGATATAGAAAAGATTGAGATTGTCTGAGATGGGGGGGGGGGGATCCTGACAGTGAAGACAGAGAGGAAAAAATGAAAGAAGAGAAAGAATGATGGAAGGAGCATAGGTTTATGGGAGGGGGGTGGTGATCTTCCATAGCCAATGAAGAAGAAGAAAGGAGGATTTCAGGGGAGGGTGATGTGCTCAGCCCTGAAGTCACGTCTCACCGTTTCAACATTCAGGACAGGACAGGACAACGCCAATCCCATTGAGAATTACTTCCACACTGTCTACTCTCCTCATTTAGAAGGATGACAAAGAAGAGGACAGTTGACTCTACTCAAGAGGGCCCAAGAAAATCTTCTGTCTGAGTTTCCAGGGGAAGCTTATATTGAGAGCACAAGGTGGATATTCTCTCTGGACTAAGCAAGAGTTAGGGACACTTCCAGCCAGCTCACCTGAGTCTGAATTGGTGGAGGTGAGAGAAGGTTAAGGTGGGAAGGGCTCAGAGGCTCCTGTCCAAGTGCATGTTTCCAGGTCCAGACAGACACATTCCCCCTTCTCCCAGGATCAATTATTCATATGCATGAGGTTTCCTGTGTGTCAGGGTGGAACAAGGCGGGCTGCGGTGGCTCAACTCAAAACTGTGGCACAGTGCGCTGTGAGACTGAAGGAGCAGAAAACACGCGGACAAGAGGCATAGAGGATACAGAGAGAAAGATTGTGTAACAGTTGGAGATCAAAGGTCACAATAGCAGAGGAGAATAATTTGAGGAGAGTTTTTGTTTGCCGTTGGGGAGAATGAAGGCTCTACAGAAGAATCAGGGACGCACTGACCAGATGTTGGGAGCCATGGCTGATGTGCTTACTTCTGTGGCCATGCCCAATCAACAGTGGGTGAGTTGTGTATCTGTTTGTGTATTTACTCCCTGTTTATATGAAAGCATAATGCCAGAGATTCAAAGAGAAAACAACAGACACATATGGCAGTATTTTTCAGAGCTTGCGGAGCATGAAGTCCAACTTATATCTGGCCCACATCATTACATACCAAGTTTATTCGCTGTCATCGCTATAACTTTGTCATAAACCTAAAATGGTAAAGCAGAGGGAAGAGAGAGTGAGAGGGATGGAAGGATTTCTAGTCTCTGTTCAGTGCTTGGGAGGAATCTTGGATGTTTCAGAGGAACAGGAAGCAGAGTAGTGGTGATTAAACCATCTGACCATAAACAAACTCATGCAGGTCTAACGCCTCACTGCAACCAGGCAATTTGCTTCCTTCCCTTCCCTTCCCTTCCCTTTATCTTCCGTTTCCTGAAGCAATGTGTTTTCTGTTTGGTTGTATGACAGCCACATCCATTTTTATTCTTTAATATAAATGTTAATTTGAGTCTATCATCCACTTCAAATGCTTATCTACAAAACCAATGTTGTACCTATTGTACATTCCTAACACATTGCATTTATTTTACTTTATTAAACTATAGTGCGTAGGTTTCGATGCGACACGTGGAAGTTCAAACATGTATACATGTACCAAAAGGTCCAAACGGCTTTCTCTTTAAAACATTTTTTTCTTGATAAATCATTTCCTCCCTGGCAGAGAGTGATAAAAAACATAACAGTGATTATAATCTTTCTCCTTCTCTGCAGAGGACTGATAACTCTGCTTGCCTCTATTAACCTCTTCTCTGGTGCTGCTGGGTTTTAAATAAAGATTAAAATCTGCTCTCTGAGAATAAGTTCTTATCCAAGCTCTGTGGCAAAACTTGGACCTCAACAATTTCTAATGCATTCTTGTTCAGTGTGTAATGGAGAGAAGGATGAAAAAGATGCAGGGAATAGTGGAAAAAAACAGCCACTGGTATAATGTTTTGTGGTTATGTGACCATAAGCACTCTGTACAATCTTACCATCACTTCCTCCCTGAGAGCAAGGCTCCACTGCTGACAAAGGCATCTCTGTGTGTAGCTCTCAGAAGGGGGCGAGGCAGACCTCCCATCAAGCGAGGAGGAAAAGGGGCCTGTGCAAAGCCAGTGGGAGCCAGAGGGGCTGGAGTGGGAGCAGCAGGTCACTGCTACAGAAAACATGGAGCGGAGAGAAAGAACAGGTAAGACCTGAAAGGGCTGCTGAGCGTGACAGACCATTTTGTGACCCCAATCCCACAATGCTAGTCCAAACATTGGCCCTCACCAAACCAGTCAGAGCATTAGACACTCACCGAAACACAAACTTCCAGACTCAGCTTTGATTCTTTGTGTGAAAGGGATCGGATTTCTGCACAGTGACATCTAAAACAGCCTGCTCAGCCACTCTGTGACTTTCCTGAAAACACTACTGCTACAATCTGTGTTGCTGTTGACATATAGACAGAGATGATTTCTTAATTCATGACATAGATAATCTTGAATCCATTAGTGTGTATGTGTCACGTGAGCTAGGCCTTTAGTTTCACCTCATCCTGTTCATGCATGTTAGCCATATGCCAATTCAGGATAAAAACAGGCCCATCTACCATATCTGATGGTTGTTATGAAGCAGTAATAACTTCAGGGAAAGTATCAGATTAGAGTCACCTGAGTGTTGGTAGTTTACTCTTATTACCCTCCACTCTCTGTATCCTCTATTAGCACTGATAGCAGTAAATTGCTCTGCTGTAATGTACCATACATAAGTATGTGGGAGAGAGAGAGAGAGAGAGAGAGAGAGAGAGAGAGAGACACACACACACAGAAAGAGTTATTGTGTGTATGCGTATACACATGCAACACTTTCCAGATGGGGCAAGAAAACACGTTCAGCTGCCTCCCTTTTCCTTCTGCCCCAGCACTGTTGCTTGCACTTATTCTGATTTAGCTGTGAAAGGGTTGCGTGCATTGCCATTTTCCTTGAGTGAAATGGAACAAAAGGAGCTTTGTAGCTGGATCTGGATTTGGGTTAGAGGGAGTGTGTGTGTATATATGGGGTTTGGTGGTGTCTACCAAGTGGCTGGACCACTAACTGTTGTGCAGAACGGTACATGGCGTACATAAGGGGTGTGAGTGAGGCCAGAGGAAGCTGACAGAGATGCTTATCTGTTATGGTCTTGCTCAGATGGGGTGTGCGGTTGAGGTTAATGCTGCCAAATATTATTTTAGCATACAGCTCATGGCTCAGAAAAACAAAAACAAAAAAGTAAAGACATGCATTATTCTGGGGCATGTGGAAGGATGATGACCAAAAGGGAGATTGTTTATTCCAGTTCCAGACAAGCTCCTTCGCTCAATTGTTTTTGCATAGCCCAATTTCCTCCGGATGGGAAATTGGATGGAAAATCAATGAAACACAAGGCAGAAAAACATCTGAACCACAACAACAAGATACAGACGTTGTCGTGGCTCAGGCTGGTCGAGAAGTATTTTTTTATTTATCTGGTCTCCATATAATAGAACCATGACAAAATTCCTGTAATGAAATATCAAGGTTCATGCTTTCATTGTCTAAATGAACACATTTAGGAGTAGTTTCAGTATTTTTTTAAAAATACTAATAGCATGCAACTCAATGCAATTTTATTGTAAATGTGCTAGTATCAATCATTGATAGTTAATGGGATATTATTTCTTATATTGTCTGCCTATAACCCAGAGACTGCAGTGCAGACAACGTAGTCCTTGCAAAACCTTGAATGTTTATGGTTTGTGATGATACAGTTTTTCACTACATATTCACTGTATATACTTCATACACTGTTTACAATCAACATGATAATGCACCAATGACCAGACTTGGCAACCTAGAACTAAAACATCAGAAGGTTAATGAGGTACACATTTTTATGCAATCACTAAAGGAACAACAACAACAATCTAATTGTATACTGCACATTAATGTTTTATGCTTTAAACACTTTAAGCGCACACTTTAAATTAACTTTTTGCTTGTATTGAATCTTCATTTTAGCGTAACACAGTCAATCTTCAAACATGTAGAACAGGAGACATGTGATTACATTTTGCCATGCTTTGACTGGTAGAGGTCATAGTGTTGTTTCCATCTCTTGCTGTGTCAGTGGAAGAGAAGGGAAAAGAGGGGAGGCCCCTGCTTTCTTTAAAGATGTGGTTCATAGGGCCATAAGGGCCATCTGTTATATGTTAGAAACAAGATGCCTGCTAGTGGCTTCCCAGGAATCACAGGACAGTGCCAATGTACTTTTTTTTTAATTCTTCCCATTTCTCAACTGCTCTTCTCCCCCCCTTCTTGGTAGTGATTTTTACTACAGTTAGACTTTTTCTTTTCCTCAGATCATCTTCCCTTTGTTTCCCTCTCTTCTCCTCATTTCCTTCTCCAATCCCTATGTATCTTTTCTTTTCTTTTTCCTCAAAGCAATGTCTTCAGCAGTGGTATTTTAAACCTGGCTTCCCCTCCAAGCACGCAGAGCTGCTGATCATATTTCTTTCAAATCTCATCAGTCTCTTGGCTCCTTGTGCTCCCAGCCATATAGTTCATACTCTCACTCTCCCAGACAACATGTGTCTACAGTGTCTGTTTCGTAACATTGATCAGTGATGGATGACCATGTTTATCCTATTACAATGATGTCTTTTTCAAGGTAAAATACATAAACCCCATCAACAGGAAGCTGCACTGAACCATTAAAAATAACAATGTATTTGACCCACAACTGCACGCACACACTGCTCATGTGTACAGACACACACACACACACACACACACACACACACACACACACACACACACACACACACACACACACACACACACACACACACACACACACACACACACACACACACACACACACACACACACACTGTGCATGTTTCTGTTTAACTTTTTTTAGGCGCACATTCTACTTATTAGTGAAAGTTATGCCAGTGAATTATGCTGTTGATATAGGAAACGTGACATTCAGTTGAGTTTTTTTTTTACAGTATTTAAATGTGTCTGTAGCCGCTTTTTATGTTCTTCTTGATGAAAAGTGATACCCATGAAAACACAGTTATATTTGGTACAAATTAAATGACATCATTTGCCATATTAATGAGTAGATGTGATGTAAACTATGTAGAAAATGCATGCCCTTGTCCATATCAGGGTTTGTAAGAAGCTGTGAGAGCGTGCCATCCAAGCAGAAGTGCTGATCCCAGAGGACCCTGGGACTGAACTGTGTGTGTGTGACCTTAAATGGGCAGAGATCAACCTGATGTTGCATCGCATTGTGTTGTAAGGGCCAGAAATTAAACAGCATCGGGTCACACAGGAGGAGAGTGTAATTGTGTGTTTGTGTGTTTATTTACATGATTATAATATCTCTATCTTCTATTGTAATGCAGAAGAGGTGTACTGCCTCAAATGACTTCATACACTCTAAATCAGAAAATTTAATTATACAGTATAAATACCTACATAAATAGCAAATGTTTTGTGTATGAAAGCCAGTAATTTGATAGACATTACCATGTTATCATACAACTGTCATAAATATTTGAAAAGCTCTTCCAAGGGCTGTCTGTGTTCCTTTGTGATGGCAAGATGATTTGATAAACCATATCTTTTTTTCAATGCACCCCTTAAGTTGTTGTAAACAATGGACTAAGAACAGTCCTGATTCTGTTATCTGTACCTTTGACCTATAGATCAGACCTTTTCTAAGAAATACTTCTTGTGTTATAATGGCCATTAACCTCAGATATATGTGGCTTCCTTACCATATTGATTAAGTTAGCCTTGAATTGGAAACATTGATCAAGTTTCTAAACTTGCTGTTGAGACAGCAACAACTGATTTTTTTGCTGAGCAAGTAGTGTATAGTGGGTTTTTGAATCTTTTTTCCCCTTTCTGCTGCAGCTGAAAATGACACTACGAGAGCAGTGAGAGGGAACGAAAACAGGAAAGTTGCAGGCTGGACAGCTAAACAACTAGCTGAAACTCACTATTAAGCTTTGTAAAGCACACATACTTTTCACATTTTCATTTGATATATAGTTACTATAAAAAACTTCACCAGCTAGTAGTTAACTGTGTCTGCTGTTTGGTGCTGAGCAGGTAGTGTGCAGTTGGTTTTTAGAGCTTTGTCACAAAAAATAGCTGCCTGCTTGAACCAAAACATTAACACTGCGGGTCTGACTGCCAAACAATGAGTAAAGCCGAAGGAACCTGCAGATTTGGGGGAGCTGCAAGTACATCACTATGAGTGACCCCTTTCACAAATAATTAAGGATCACAGGTCTACCATAAGTAAAAACCTATGTGGGCTGTCCTGGCAGTATGGCTGCGTGCTGAAAAGAGTGCCACCTGTATCTGAAACATGTGAATCATCCTCTAACATGAAGAATAACGGTTAAAAAAAATATTTAATGTGCATATTTTTGTAGAGTTGAATTGCAGACGTTTGTGTTGTATTATAGTGAAGTGGGTCAGGCAGGGCTAGCTGAAAGGCATATGGTCAGGGAGGTCAGACACCTCACAGGTCACTGCTCCACAGCACAGCTGGCATTTAGACCACAGATGAAGGAAGCAGATGGAGACACATAAACACAGTCATAGTGGCACACGTATGTGCACACAGACATGTATCTTCACACATTAATGTGCTTATTTGCTCCTGAACGTGCCACATACACTACACAACAAAAATCAAGAATACAGTTTTTTAATTTTATTAGTTTATACACGAGGATAATGAACATAATTCAACATAATTTCAATGTATCAGAGATCTCTTTTTCCAACAGAAAATCTCTTTCCCTTAATTATAAAATTGCTGGACTCAGTAATTATTAATCAAAGTTAAAGCAGTGGTGTCTTTCCATGTGTGGTCCCTGGGTTTACTTTTGTTTAATTAACATTTTCTCCTTTGGGTGGCGTTTTAGCTCAGGCTTAAGCCTTGAATACAGTCAGCAGCAGTCCCAGATTCTCAGTGCGTTAGTGTGCTGCTTCTAGAGCAAGGTTCACAGACCAGTTCCAGAGAGAAAAAGAGAGGGAGGGAGGCTGGGTCAGGTAGGGAAACTAGTTTACTATCACCGTGCGTTGTTGAAGAAAGTGAAGCTGGACCGGGAAAGGTTGTTAAGGATGTTGTTAAGTATGTGTTTGTGTAAATGTGTGTGT